TAACTTTGAATCTTTTCCTAATTTCTATGGTATTAGTTACCCAAATCAAATGGGTGTCTCTCTTGACTAAGTTTCAGAGTCATTAAATAACACTGGCACTAAACAATGATTCACAATACTTTGTGACAGTCTTCTGTCAGGCTACCACCAACCAGTATTATAAGCCACTTTATGAGTTTCCAACTAGATGATATAAATTATGTTTGAAGTGAGTCAGGGACCTTAATCACAAAATTGAAGATAACATTGATGGCAAGATGAAGCATTATTTTATCTGCCACTAAAAGACAAAAAAATTGAGGTCAACTATGATACAATATTTCATTTTCACTTAGAAGTTTTAATTTGTACGTATCCAGAGAGTTAAACTTAGATAGACATAGGTTTTTACTTTATGCCATTGTTGTACATATATTTGTAAAAACTGAGTTAAATTGGCTAAAGTATTCCTAAATTGTCTTCATATTCAGACCCCAACTCTACTTCACCATATTTTGACTCAGCATCTCTGATAACTGAGTTTTTCCACAAAAACTCATCCTCTGCACCACCAAGAGCACCAGCATTTCTCAGATGTACTAGACTATTGATTGTTTCCAGGAATTTGATCTAAAACACTGACATCCATTCTGCAAACTGAACTCATAATTTTCTTTGTTTCCTCAATCACATTGCATATGTTGGCAGATAAGCAGTTTCTGTTAAAGGAGAAGTGTCTGACAAATTGACACTTGATAAACCTTAGCAATATTCTTTTGCATTAGTCATGCTGAAAAGAATTAGTTATGCTGTTATTGCTTTGAAATTTCTTCCATTTATTCCAAGGGATTTGGCCATTTCTCTTGCCTTCAGTCTGTCATGTAACAAATAGGCAATTCTTTGCACACATAATGTAACATGTCTTCATATACTTGTGGGTATCTTTCTTTCCTAGATCCTGTAAGGCACTTGACTGTTTTTCAAGAAAACACAAAATTCAGATCATTCACCCAATGATGAACATTACCTCCCTAACATCAAACTTAAATCTTGCTGCTATTTTTGTGCTTTTCTTCATGCATAATAACTTTTTTGGTTTCATTATTTTGTTGAAGACATATTACGTGACTAACTAATGGAATGCCAATAATACATGTAACCCAACCCAATGATAATACCATGAAGCGCTGTGACGTACACCCATTGGCAAACACCTCATGACTACAACCAGGCCATCAGCAATTTTAAGTTATTGCTGATTATAAGACATATCACAATTTCAGATATTAAAATGTAAAACTGAAAACGTATGTCTTAAAATGAATAAAATGAGGGCTGTGAAAGCACTTCTAAATGCCCAATCATTTAACTTAGTTACCTCTGTAAAGAAAAAAAAAAAAGTTTTTAATAAAAAATGTCCAGACGTTAAGTCCTAATTTCCTGAATTAGGAAGAAAATTTAGTTGATTTGTTTTATGAAGGTATAACAATCATATATTTATCAATGACTCTCACATCTATTATCTCATTTCATTTTCCCAACAGATCTGAGACATAAGATATTTTAATGTGCTTCTCTAAGATATATGGAAATGGACTTCAAAAGACTGAATCAAAAATCACCCGGCAGAACTTGATCTGTGAATCCATCAACTTAAAGCCAACTACTTTTCCTTCTAGCCCATAGCTGCTTCCTGCTGTATGCTCACTCTTTGACAATCTACTCTTGAATCATTTGCCAAGTGGTCTGTCCTGATATTAAACCAACACCATTATTTAAGGTCCATTTCTTTCACTTTCCCTTTAGCCTTAGTTTCTAGGTCTTATACAAGAAATAGACTCCACCTTTTAAGCTTAAAGATCTTAGGATTGATAAAACAGCAGAATGATTCAGAAACAGATATAAAAAAGAACCCAAATAAAATAAAAAATGTAAAGATTACCATACTTAATATTTACAATGAGTAGATATTTAGTATTTTAGTACAATTTAAGACATGAGTACTAGAGGAGACACTGCCCACTTTCTCAAAGCAAGCCTAGTAAATCCTTACATACCATCAGTAAAGCTAAGCTTCCACAGTGTGCAAGCAAACTTGGTGATTTTTTTCCTTGTTAAAATTGCAACTGGAAACAACTCAAATGTCCATCAACTAACAAATGAGTAAATAAAATGTATATCCATAAAATTAAATATTTGACAATAAAAAGTAATATAGTACTGAAACATGTACAACACAGATGAACTCTGAGAGCAAACTAAGTGAAAGAAGCTAATCTCAAAAGACCATATATCGTATGATTCCATTTACATAAAATGTCCACAAGAGTCAAATCTATAGAGACATAAAGAAGATCAGTGGTTGTCTAGGGCTTGGAGCAGGAAGTTTGGGAAGAAATGGAGAGTAACCGCTAATGGGTGCAGCGTTTCTCTGTGGGGTGATAAAAATGTTATAAAATTGTGATGATGGCTGTGCAACTCTATGAATATACTAAATACCACTGAATTGTACTCTTAAATAGTTAACTGTGTGGTATATGAATTGTATCTCAATAAAACTGTTAAAATATGTAATTAGTGTGTACTTCCACTGAGCCATGTACGTGTGTGTGCACGCAGAAATATGTACATATATTACCAACTAATTATAATGTGAAGTAGAATATAAGTGCTTACATTTTAAAAAATTATTTGATGGTTTCATCCCTGCTAAACTGCTGTGTCTAGAATAGTGCCTGGAACACAATACATATTTGCTGAATGGCTGAGTGCAATAGTGTAATGTCAGACCCTGTTATGGACAGAGAACAAAAGTTAATCTAGCATCACTATACTTATGTTCAGTTGCTAACAAAAGGATCACCTCACAATGTAGTATAAGGATACCCCTATATGACTCCTATCAAGAGGAAATCATTAAAGATGGTAAAACTTACAATATTACCCAGAATCTTGGTCAGTAGAAAGATAAATAATGAGAAAAGGCTAATCCCCTAATGAAGTAGCAGCAGGAGCAATATGTGACTGGGGATAAGTGTGAAAGTACTTTTCAATTCTTTCAGTGAGTAATGAGTTACAATGATCAGCCTTTGGATTAACCCATTTTAGTAAATTGACCCAATAAAGTTTACTCCATATTTCCCTCAGCCATATTTCCTTTACCTTTTTTATTAAACCCAGAGACTACTGCTTGCTCTCCTAGTTCCTCAGCCATGGTATACCTAAAAGCAATGACATTTTCCCATAGTCCTCTCATAGTTCAGTGATGCCAACAAGTCTGAATGAGGCTAGGACATCAACAAACTCGCCCTATTTCCCATATTCTCACAACCAGATAAAGACATCTGACTGCCCCACGTTTCCCTTTCAGTTTTTGCTATTCCCAAATGTCCCAAATCATTCTGGCATTCCAAAACATTCAAGCATCTAATGACTATGGTTAAAATCTAACTCTTATTCTCCTGACTCTGATTTTTTTTTTTTCTGTATTCCTACATGTGTGTTTAAAAACAAATACTGCACTGGACTTGCAGGAACGGCCTGATCTACGATAACAAATCAGGCAACCATATGTTTTACCCTCAGTCAACTAGAAATATAATTTTTTGATCTTGAAAATCTTTGGAATGAGATGGGAAGATTTCTCCTTCCTAATACTTCATTCTGACTAATTTGAAACTGTCTCCCAGGTATCCTACAAAAACAGAGGGTCACTGGGTATACTAATAAAAAATTTACTAACAATTCCATTAGTCAGATTAGAAATAGTCTATCATTCTACAGCAGTGTTACTAATTTTTAAATAAACTAACATCAAAGATCAAATAACTTCCAAGACACACTCACATTGACATACTGCTGGTAGCATTTTTAAAATCAGTACAATTCATTCAGAAGGCAATGCCTACCTATCAGAATAATAAATGTAAGAAAAGTGGCCAGGCACGGTGGCTCATGCCTATAATTCCAGCACTTTGTGAGGCTGAGGTGGGTGGATCACTTGAGGTCAGGAGTTCGAGACCAGCCTGGCCAACACGGTAAAACCCCATCTCTACTAAATATACCAAAAAAAATTAGCCAGGTGAGGTGGCACAGGCCTGTAATCCCAGCCACTTGGGAAGCTGAGGTAGGAGAAATGCTTGAACCTGGGAGGTAGAGATTGCAGTGAGCTGAGATTGCGCCACTGTACTCCAGGCTGGGCAACAGAGCAAAACTCCATCTCGAAAAAATGAAAAAAAAAAAAAAAAAAAAAAAAAAGTATTCAATAGGAACAAAGGAAGAGCTTTACCATAGCATCAGGCACGTAAGTAGAACACTGGAAAAAATGCAGAGCTCTAACAGAAACTGAAGGGTCTGGTAAATTATGGTACAGAGACATAACAAAATACTGTACTCATTTAAAAATAACAATTATAAACATAAGATATTATGTTGGTGCAAAATTAACTGTGGTTTCGATTACTTTTGTGCCAACCTATAGAAATGTTAACATTTATGACATAATATTAAGTGAAAGACCAGAACAAAAAATGGTATGTGTGCATGCATGTGTGTAAAATAAACCCTATATATTTTTAAAATATCTTTTCAAAATAACTCATTACCAAACTTCTCATTTTTAAAGTTTCCCCATCTATTTACTCAGTTAAATTTTTCATTTCTTAACTCTCCTATGTGCCATGTCTTTCTATCTCTGTTTTCCAATACAGTTGTTTTTATCTCCTTCACTCATTGTCTTGACAAAATTTCACTGCCTATCATGCTTTCTTTTCCAACGGCAGGAAAAATATTTATAAAAAGGCTATATAAAGGCTATACCAAACTCACCCTCCGATCCCTGTACTTCCTTCCCAAATCCTGCCTTGTTACCACTGTGAAGATGACCCAGCAGTAAAAGGGGACTGAAATGTAGGAGTGACACACCATACCATGCCTCAAAGCTACTTTCTAATTATTTCTGCCTATCTATGTGTGCATATGAGGTAGATATTTAAAATAATCAACTACTGCATGTTTCTTACCTATTGCATGAATCTGATTCTGGTGAAGAAAGAGCTTCTTGAATATCAGTACAGCTAGAAGAATCCTCTTCTCTGTCAGGTTCCAATTCCTCTGGGGAGTCCAGATTTGATTGAGAAAAGTGGTTTGTTACCAGCTTTGATTGAGAAAAGTGGTTTATTACTGAGGTCATATTATCTTCCTGTCCTAGGAAAAAATAAATTTAAGAGTACGTTAAAATCTACAACTTCTGTACGCCTATTACTTCTGTAACACTTAATACTGCCATACGCACTTAGTAAAGTTGAAGAATATGTCACATTGATTCCAGAACTCTAGTGACAGCCAGAAAGCAAGAATTAACACTACAATGGTGCTACCTAATTATACTATCCAGCCCATGTTTTTCCAAGATTAATTAGTTTAAAAATAAAATTTATTTTAAAACCAGGAGCAGGAAGAATCTTGTAATTCTAATGAGGCATCTATTAACATATTACTAAGGAATTCTTGCATATTTCATAGATCAGAGAACACTGACAAACCAACGTAAGAAGTATAACCAAAAAAAAAGACTACAGATTCAACTAATAAGACAACCACAATATTTGTCACTACTATATGATAGTGAATCTATCTGGACATTTTTCTAAACCTGTTAAATAGAATCTAATTATTCTCTATGGAAAAGGACAACTAATCAGACATAAGGAATATTTCCATTTGATCCAATATACATCACATTTCCATGCATTCTTTGTCATATTCTCAGCTTTTAAGGTCTCTTATTGCAGATAAAAATAAAGACCCCAAAAAGCTGGAAGGATGCAGTGTTTACAAAAATGTGGCATACGGGAATGGCCAATTTTCTACAAATATGAGTGAGAAGAATATCTGTGAAAGATTCTTTAGTGCCCAGGATTCTCCTACTCATCATAAACTCTGCTGGGATTTTCATCTGTGCTGTCCTTAACTTTCAGGAACTGAGGAGGTACTTTCACATGCAAGCTACACGTGCCAATAATAGTACAGAGCTCCTTTCATGTGTTTCCTCACAGAGAAACAGAGCTTTCACACATCACTCCTCAAGCACTTGTAGAGGCAAGCGGTCTTCAACGAAGCACAATAAAAATACAATTGTCAAGGTTTGGTTATACAGAGAGAATTTATGGGGAAAGAACATAACACATTCTTCAAAAAACCTTGCCAAGTTCACATAGTCAAATTTTTTTCAGAAATAGTTCTAAGTTTTTGTTATACTGGGAGAACAGCATACTTCACAAGAGTGTAATTCCTAAAAATATGCTCCTAATGTCATCTGGCTATCAATAAACTATCATTAGCAAAACAAAACAGCACCCTCTAAAGTATATCTGGAAAAGAGAAAAAGAAGTTAGCCAGGATGACCATCCTGAACCTCTAAGAACTCCTCTTGTAAACAGATACCAGGATCACATTAAGAGGAGCCAATCCCCCAGTCAACTCGGTTCACCCAGGGACTATATTACTCAACTAGTGAGGCACATGCAAAAAAGCTGGCAAACCAGGGAACAGGAATTCAACTGAAAACAATCTTTTATTTTTGCACATTGTCTGTATTCTTTTCTTCTTTCACTCTTACATACACTTCCAGACAATATATTCCTTCTTGGGGACAAACAGCATCCAATAATCCGTGGGCATAAAAAATAAGTTATCCTTTCTACCTGCCCTTAGATCTCAGAATGCAGGACTTCAAAATAGAGCCTCAGGAGTGAGGCTCAGACATCAGAGCTCCCCAGAGACACACAACAAAAACAGGCTAAGTTTTCACTTGAGAGAATATGCAACTTGTTCACTTACATGAGCACTTCAATGTTTGTCCTAAAGAGCAACAATTATATTGGTTTTATGATGCTATACGAAATTCATCTTTTCAGTCAGTCTGTGTCTGTCTTCACCTCTCTCACATTCCTTACCCTCTCAGACATCTCATTCATGCACAGCAATCTAAAAGCAGCAATCACCTTTGAACCCCAGAAAGAGTAATATTGATGTTCATAAATACATATAAGCCATCAATGATATTCAAGAGAGGTTCAACTAATAAAAAAAAGTTCCCTTAAAGGGAAATATTCAGTCAGATTTTCTCAAGTGCTAAACTAGTTTCTAGAAATATCCTTTCACAATTGCATGAACAAGTTCGATTTGTTCAAAGACCATGAGTTATATACTGAGGCAGCACCTTATGCACAAATTGTTTATTAGTCACTAGGGAAATGCAAATCAAAACCACAATTACATACCATTTCGCATTTACAATTTTAAAAAAATTTAAAAATCAGAAAATAACAAGCGTTGATAAAGATGTGAAGAAACTGGAACCCTCACGCTTTGCTGGTGGGAATGTAAGATAATGCAGCCACTATGGAAAAGTTTAACAATTCCTCAAAAGGTTAAACATAGAACCAGTATATGAATCAGAAATCCCACTCTAAGCTGAAACTTAGATATCTGAGCATCAATGCTCATAGCAGCATTATTTATAATAACCAAAAGGTGGAAATAACCATAACAGATAAATGGATAAACAAAATATGGCATATACATACTACAGAATACTGTTTAATCATAGTAAGAAATTTTAAAATAAGCTACAACACTGATGGACTCTGAAAGCATTATGCTTAGAGAAAGAAGTCAACACACAAAGAAAATATTATACAATTCCATTTATATGAGGTACCTGGAATGGGCAAACTCATAGACACAGAAGGTGGAACTGCTATTACCAGGGCTATGAGGCAGAGGGGACGGAAGAGTTGCTATTTCATGAGTGCAGAGCTTGGGCTGGGAATGATGAGATTGTTTTGGATATAGGCATTGGTGACAGTTATACAATATTGTGAATTTAATATTGTGTATTTAATGCCAACGACTTATACATTTATGAAGGGTTAAAAAGATAAATATTGTATTATATATATTTTACCACAATATAGAAAAACATGATAAGGAATTTTCTTGCACACTTTCCCCCACTATGATTCTTTTTTGTTCACTGGTCCAAAGCCCAGGCAATAGAATTAAAATATTAATTTCAAATTTTAAAATGGATCAAAGTTAAGGAATGTGCTCTGTATTAGCCTACCAGTATATTAGCTTTAGACTGTTTGGCAGAACATTTCATCCAAAGTAAACACCAGTGTTCTATCACAAAAATAATTCACTCTCTTACAGGATCTCTCAGGATCTCCACCAATAAATTCTACACCTAGAAAACATCCTCAAGCTTAAATAACTAAGATATTTATGATTTGTCATTAACTGAAAGGATGATAGACAAAAAGAGATTGTTTCTTCAGGACATTCTTCCAACCATTTTCCGCACAGTAATAAATCTAGTTTACAAACTGCTACATGAAGTTTGTCTAAAAATACTTTTCCTCATTTCAAAGAACTAGGAACTCCAAAGTAAATTTCCTTGGTTTAATTTTCTTTTCATATTAAAAGTAAATAATGAAATTCAACATATGTCTGTTTTTAATTATACTTTCTTACCCATGCATACAGAAGATAGCTTTTCTGTAGATTCATCTTCTTTTGTTATTGTTACTGTTTTTTGTGACATTCCAACAATTTTCTTGTATCCTTTTCTAGCCTGATCCACCAGAAGCTGAAATTCACATTTATGTTTCTTACCTGAAATTCAAAAGATCTTCACAGTAAAGCTAGGACAATGAAAGTTAACCATCTACAACTGACAAACTGAATATCGAGAGGTGTACAAGGGATGGGCATGGTGGCTCACGCCTGTAATCCTACCACTTTGGGAGCCCGAAGTGAATGGATCACTTGTCAGGAGTTCGAGACCAGCGTGGCCAACAAGGTGAAACTCCATCTCTACTAAAAATACAAAAAAATTAGCCGAGCGTGGTATCACACGCCTGTAATCCCAGCACTTTGGGAGGCTGAAGTAGGTGGACCATTTGTCAGGAGTTCGAGACCAGCCTGACCAACATGGTGAAACCCTATCTCTACTAAAAATACAAAAAAATTAGCCAGGCGTGGTATTGCGTGCCTAGAATCCCAGCTACTTAGGAGGCTGAGGCACAAGAGTCACTTGAACCTGGGAGGCAGGGGTTGCGGTGACCTGAGATCACACCACCGCACTCCAGACTGGGCAACAGAGCGAGACTCTGTCTCCAAAAAGAAAAAAGAGGTGTACCAGACTGCTCAAGAACAGCAACCATAGGAATCACTTGCAATAAATTTAAAAGCTACCAAGCAGAAGAATACAAAGGGCTGCAGTGTCATGGAAGATTCTTTTTATCTTCTCTCTTCCTCAAATACAAATATGGAAACATGATATTCCTAGTTTGCTACTCTAGGTTTCTTCCCAAACTCCATTCTCTAGAGAGGCTTTTACATAATTAAATCATAAGAGCAAGAAAGATGCACGCTTTCTTAAATATATACAAATGATACCATTTTAACTTCCAAGATACAAGAGTACTAAGAGTATTCACTGGATCTAAAATAGAAGCCTCTAGGAAAGTTGAATCATAATAACAAAGGATATCCACTCCAGCTCTTTTTTTTCTTCACATTTCTGGCCTGTTTCCCAGTAGAGCGAGCCCCTTTAAGATTCTAAGACCTCTCCCAACCAATTCTACCTTACCTTAGGATACTATATTAACTCTAATCTTTATTTACTACCATTTTAACACCTTTGAATATAATTAACCCTGACCTCAAGATCACCATTATTAATGTATCAATTTGTTCAATAAAGAGCAGCCAGTCATCATTACTGCATGGACTTTAGGGCATGTATTTGTGATTCTGAACCATGCAGCTGAGGTTGCAGTTTACTTATCTAGCAATGTTAAACACTTAGGCCACAGTCCAAAGTAATGTCATAAATCCTGTAAAATTTTTAGAGAGAACCATACTACAAATGGTTAAAACAAAAATTTGACACTGTTTTCATACAAAAATCAAAAATGTACTTTTTATCACTTGGTTTCTCCCATTTTCCGTAGCACAATACTAAGGCATAAGGAATTTACTGGGTGTAGGGAAAAAAATTGAGCTTCAGTTGAACTACGGCATTGTCTAAATCTACTCTCCCAGGATTCCAGACATTCACTGCCTTTGAGCTATGGTATATGTTGTAGATAACTGAAAGCAATGGAAAATAATTCTTGACTATAGATATGCAAAATCCTGTTGGGTGGAGGTTCAATTGACTTCCATCCTCCAATGTGGAAGAAGCCAGTTTTTTGCCCGTTATACATTCATTTCAATGTTCCTCATCTGTAAATGTGATGATTCTTTGGCTCCTTCTTTGATCACCTCATAATATCAGCCCTCTCTCTACTAATGAGCTTAAATCTTTAATAAAAACACATGTTCGTTTTACATCCGTATGAGAATGATGTTACTTGTTTTTGAAAATTATCTTTTAACACGAAAAGAGAAAAACTAAATTGTGATGCACAAGGAAGAAAATAGTTGGATTCCTATACGTGAATATTGACAGGCACAGCAAAGACATTCAGGCAAGAATGCTCCTAATTACAATATTTTTATGTGTATGGTACATGTATGAAAACTTCTAGTGAAACTAATGTGTTGGGCTATAAAATGTATGGTACATTTTAAATAAGAGACTAATTAAAATGTCAGCAAAAGAAATATATCCTGGACGTAAAGATTACTGGAAAAAAACTAACTCTTTAGAAACAAGTAAGATCCTATCTAGGATACAAGCTAGGTGATTTCTTTTAAGTACTCTACGCACTTGAGGATAACCATCCTGTATTTCTCTGGCTCCTTGGAATCAATGGGCTAACACTACCACCATCATTATGTAGTTTCTATTAGGCTAGGGTGACACAGTACTATGGGATCTACATAATTTAGTTAGACCAGGTCTAAGCTATTTTCCTACTAAGGCCACTCCACTGTACACATAAAGACTGGAGATTTAAGAATTAGTTAAGAAATTTGCTAAAGTAATAGCATTAACAGTTAAGAAGGCTTAATGACTTATTATCTTCTGAAGTAATAAAATCCCAGATTTAAATCTAATTACCCCAGAGCTAGGCTGGAAACCAAAAGTAAATGGTAGCCACTCTAGCCAGAGAATTCCAATAACCCCTACTCAGAAAATGAAAAATGTCAACAGATCAAGACTAGTAACATTGTTCCCACTTACCTCTTTACTTCATTTTAGAAGATTTGCCATTTGGCAAGGAGTACTATAGAGTTTAAAATCTCAGTTCTGGTGGGTATATGTCCTGAAATTACCTCTTAGAAGTTTTAAGTGGCTCAGCTAGTCGTGGGAGTGTCCATGGCTAAGTACACATTCAACCAACTCATTTTCTTCCAGATTTTGAATACTTGGATCATTCCATCCTTAGTTCCTCTCCAAGTTTAAATGTAATCATTTTTAGTACCAAGTCAAGCCCTTCACTCCCTGATCACTTTAACTACTCTTCTTCAGACCAGCCCTTACAGTCAGAGTGTCTCTGGGTCTGCCCAAGAACCCAGAACCCAGTGGCACAAAAGACTAAAAACAGGCTCTCTCAAGAGTAGAAAAGACTCATACCCTTCTACAGTGATGCCACTGAGATACTTCGTCCACTTTAAATCAAGAAATGAGTTTGGAGTCAGTGTTTGCCAAAGTAAAATCCCATATATTTCTTTCACCATCATACCACCTATTATAGCCAATCAGCTAAATGTGGATGAAAAACAGAGTTTAACAGTTATGGCTAATGTTCACTACAGGCTTATTCATCTAGCCCTGAACTGACTAGTGACACTTTAATTTCATGATCATAATTCTCAAATGAGCATTCAATACTGCTATACAACTCTCGCACCTTTCTCTAGTAAAGTTTTCTCTACAATTCTCCAAAATATCTATCTTACACTTTCTTCTCTTTGTTCAAATATTCAACACTCCCCATGTGGCCCCTCTTAGTTGGTCTCGCACTACTTTGAAAAATATAGAATCATTCTAACAGAAACTCTGTCATCTTTCAAGCACCAGTATAACTTGTCTGTGCACTTATGATCTATTTCCCTTGTTCTTACCATGAAACAACTATCCTTGCTATAATTAAAGGCTAACCTCTAACTTATGTTCGGGATTCCATCATGAAGCTGTGAACAGAGACTGTGCCTTCGAACCTAGAGTGTGAATTATGAAAACAACTCAGCAAATCCAGACCAGCATTTTTTTCTTATTGAAATAATAAAGAGAATAGAAAGTATCAGAATGCATTAAAAATGGAAAAGGCAAACACCATTTTGTGAAGCCTTTGTTTCAGTCACGTGTATGTATACAGTTAGTAGTGATATAAAATGTATCTCTCACTGTGGGTTGTAGTCAAAAAGATCAGAAAGCCACTGAGTTAAATATCTCCCAATTTAAATAATAAACTTAAAAAAAAAAAAGCAAACAAAACCCTCCCTTGACCCAACACCCCTCCTCCAGCTATGACCCTATTTTTCTGCTTTCCTTTACACTAAAACCTCCCCCAAAAAGTTGTCTACCTTAATGGTTTCATTTCCTCACCTCCAATTTGGTCTCAATCAACTCTAAATACTTCTGACCTCTAAATACTTCTGAGGCTGGTCTTGTCAAGGTTTGCTGCTTCCAAGCTGTGAAACCCCTGTTCCCTTCTATCTCTGTGAAATGTAATGTTGTCTGTTCACAGCAACGTTTGGCCTAAGTCATGATTTGTTTTCTCTCTATCTCAGAGATCACAGTCCTATGCTACCTGTTTGTTTCCCATTATCTGAAAAACCATTCAACATTCACCTGGTTTTCTAGGTTTTTCTTTTTTTTTTTTTTCATGGAGGAGAGTAAATCTAGTCTCTGTTATTCCGTCTGGGCTAATAGAAATCTCTATTTTTATTTTTTGGAGAGGGGGAAACAGTTTTTTTTTTAAATCAAAATATGTTATTTATGCTAACATGTAATGGGTTCATTGTTAATATTTTTGAAATTTCTTGGTTTTAATTTCTTCTTTGACCTACGGGTTATTTTGAAATGGATTATTTAACTTCCAAATATTTGGTGACTTTCCCAAGGGCTTTGTTACTGATTTCTAATTTAATTTCATTGTGGTCAGAGAATGTATTCTGCATGCCAAATGAATACTCAAGGTGAACTCTCTGCAGATCACTGGGTTTCTCCTTCCAGTACTCCGTCCTGCAAACTCTAACTCCTTTGGTTCCTCTGATCTCTCAGCTCTTTCTCCTTAACTTAGAGTCTCCAGGCTTTGCCTGGAATACCCACTTGCCCACACTATAGCCAGGAAACTTTAGTATAAGGCTCATCACATTTTTTGCTTACCTCTCAAGGATCCCTATCCTTTGGTGCCCAATGGCCAGTATCTTGAAAATTGCTATTTCATATACTTTGTACATTCATTTTGCTTGTTTTAGGTAAGAGAGTAAATGAAGCTATTCCATGGCTGGAAACAGACATCTCTAAGTTTTAATTGATAATGTGATACATATTAATAGATATGACCCACATAAACAAAAGTTCTTTGGTGTCCTTGAGATACAGAATGGCTGGGCTCCTGGCTAAACTCCACCCTCAAGCCTGGGACCTTGGCCCTAAGTGAAAACAGCTGACCCCATCTCGCCACCCAAATATTGCCTTTTTGGTCTGCCATGCTTCCATCCTTTGCCCATAAAAATACTTCAGCTGGCAGAGCAACACAAGCAGCTGATGCAAGCAGTCAGAGATGCAAGCTGCTGAGCACTGGGGATACAAGCAGCTGAGCATTGGAGATTACAGACAAATGCAGCTGACTTCAGATGCTGCAGCTTCAGGGAAAGACCACCTTCTTCCCACATCATCCCCTTTCCAACTCCCATCAGCTGCCAGCCATCACTCAATAAAATCCTCTACATACACTACTCTCCAATCCATTTGTGCAACTTCATTTTTCTAAGACGCAGGACGAGAACCCACGTGCTGAAAGGGCAGGGGCTAGGACACTGCTATGGGGCCTGTACAGAGCCCGCTCCCACCAGAAAGGAGCGTCCGGCTGGTTCCAGTATGTGTTCCCTCTTGCAAGGAGTGGCCAGCAGTGGGCTGAGTGAAAGGATCTACTCCAGTTCCCACCCACAAAGGGGGTCAAGGTCCAGGGAACTATCCCATCATATGGGGGCTCATCCAGGATATGACAAAGGGTGAGCTAAATGTGGAATTGTTGGATCTATCTCTTTTCCAAGATCCTGCCACCTCTCTCTTTCCTTTGGGTAAAAGGAATGTTGATTCTGTTTCCCTTCATGGAGGTGTAGCTGATCTGAACTGCGGTAGAGATACAGTGATTAAAGGAAACCATTTCCAGAGAGCAAGAGGCTCTTATCCCAGACCCCCAACCCCCCACTATTCATTTTAAGCTTTTTTTTCTTTTCTAAGAGAGACAGTTTTTTTCCCAACCTCAGGACTTTGCTTATGATAGGGAAATGACAGAGGAGCCACCCCTGAGGTCATTAGGATGAGCCCTAATCCAATACAACTGATATGTTTATAAAAGGGGGAAATTTGGACACAGAGACACACATAGAGGGAAGATGATGTCAAGAGACATAGGGAGAAGATGGCCGTCTACAGCCAAGGAGAGAGGCCTAGAACAGATCCTTCCTGCACGGCCCTGAGAAGCTCAGGACACTTCGATCTTGGACTTCTAGCCTCCAGAACCCTGCTGACACCTTGCTCTTGGACTTCTAGCTTCCAGAACCATGAGACAATAAATTTGTTATTTAAGCCATGCAGTCTACATGCAGTACTTTGTTTGGGCAGCCCTAGTACACTAATAAAAACACATAATTAGAAATTAATTAGAAATAAGAAACTAATTAACTGCACAATAAATAACGATTATGACCATTTTATCAAAAAGTTAAACTTTTCTTATATTCTTCCTTGCTTTATTTTTTCACTTATCACTTTCTAAAATACTAGTAAGATATAAACTCCAACAGAGTAGACTTTTTGTCTGTCTTGTTCATTCCTATATCCCCAGCTCTGAGCATAGCGTCTGGCACATGCTAAGTACTAGAAAAACTTGTGATGGCTGAACGAATGGAATAGTACTATGAAAAAACACAAGATAATGTAAGTACATATAGAAAGAAAATCTTACCTTGTCTGAGATCACAAAGGGTTTCCCAGGGAAACTACAATTGAGCTGATTGAGAGGAGGTAGTATAGATAGGGGTCAGAAGCAATTAGAGAAAGACATAGTTCCAGACAAAGAGAGAAGAGGGTAACAAATGCCCTAAAACACTGAAGGACTTGGTAAAGGAGGTAAAAGATATCCAGAGTGACTGGAATACAAGGAGTAAGGGGAAGAGAAGAGGAAAGGCTAGAGAGCTCAACAGGTCCAGATACAGGACATAACAGACTTTACAAACTCTAGCTTAAGAGAAATGAATTCTCTTAAGAATTCTTTTATAATAATTCTTTATAACAGCAGGAGGGCAGCAAGGCAGAAATGGCAATGATGTGAAGACTCAGCAGTTCTGGAAGACAGTTTTGGCTTCTGAGTATTAGGAAGGGTCAAGAGTAGATGGGGGATGACAAGAAAGCAAAGTGATACATAAGAAGTGTATGGACTCAGGGGATATTTAGAAGATAGAGACTGACAGAACTTGATGGTGAACTGAACATGGGCAGATCAAGAAAAAAAAATAACACATGAAAGATAAAGAATCAGAATGGCAAGCTAGTTATTAGCAACAGTGCTGGAAAGCAGAAAACAATGGAAGGATACCTTTGAAAATTTGGAGAAAAGTATCTTTTCAACCTAAAGTTCTACAAACAGCCAAATTATCAATCAATAATAAAGGTGTTATTACCTGTTATATATGGAATGTTATATATCTCAAGAAATTCCTCTATACCAGGGGTGTCTAATCTTTTGGCTTCCCTGGGCCACACTGGAAGGAGAATTGTCTTGGGCCACACATAAAATACACTAACACTAACAATAGCTGATGAGCAAAAAAAAAAAAGAAAAAAAAAAAATTATCACAGTGTTTAATAAAGTTTACAAATTTGTTTTGGGCTGCATTCAAAGGCCATCCTGGGCCACATGCGGCCCACGGGCCACAGTTTGGACAAGCTTGCACACACCCTTTCTCAGGAAGTTTCCTGGAAAATGTACTCTACCAAAACAAGGCAAGAGAAGAGCGAGACTTGGAACCTGGAAGAAGTGAACCAACACAGGAAGGAGGAGAGCAGAATTCCCAGAAAGCCGGTGACAATAAATTCCAGAGGAGCAGCCATGTATTAATAGAAGGCATAAAGGGCAAGCACAGTAGACTGGAACAGGACAACAGAGACTAGGGGTGGCCCTAGGGGAGAAGTTCTTGAGAAAATAATGAGTTATAATCAATGTGTGTAAATGTACTGGAAAGTGATTTACACTTCTGTTGGAAGGTTTAGAGATATATTAGTACTAGGTAAACAGTTAAACAAATAAAAGAGAATTATTAATTATAAGAAAAACAGGGCCGGGCGCAGTGGCTCACGCCTGTAATCCCAGCACTTTGGGAGGCTGAGGCGGGAGGATCATGAGGTCAGGAGATCAAGACCATCCTGACTAACATGGTGAAACCCTGTCTCTACTAAAAATACAAAAAAATTAGCTGGGTGTAGTGGTGGGAGCCTGTAGTCCCAGCTACTCAGGAGGCTGAGGCAGGAGAATGGCATGAACCCAGGAGGCAGAACTTACAGTGAGCCAAGATCGCGCCACTACACTCCAGCCTGGGTGACAGAGCGAGACTCCATCTCAAAAAAAAAAAAAAGAAAAACAGAATGTTTTGATGAAAGGAATTATAACCATCTTATGCAAATTGTCTGGCTTGAGCCATAAACAATGTATCTAACTTAATACTGATCTTACAAAAACTTATGACATAATATTTAAAGGATGGAAAGGAAGCAAAGGTAGGGCTCAGAATACATAAATGAGCTAAATCTCCATCTTTCATATTAGTACATCAATAGTTAATGTGAAATTGAAAAGCTTCAAGAAATAGCAGAAAGAATACCTTTTTATAAATTGTAAGGTAATTACCAAAAGTAGTGCCAAAAGATTTGATAGTTGTTCCCTCTAGGGAATGGGAATAGAGGCACGTTGTTGGAGGAACCAAGAGACTGCTCTTTTATATGATAAGCCTCATAAAAAGTAAATGATTTAAAAAACTACATGTAAAACATTAATAAAATGTTTAAAAGATGAAGATATATCAATAGAATAGTTAGAACCTGACACTAAATCAAAATGTATGAATAAACTAAAAGGCTAAGCATCTAAGCTTTGTGAAGCACTTGACTTTTGAGGTTTATTTTAAGGCTAAATAAATTAATTTAATACCATCTATTTAGTAAAGTTACTTTTTAGATATCTAAATGGTGGGCAATGAATATTTTCTTGACTGTATACACTCCAAATTTTTCTTAATATGGGATAATTATTAGATGCCACCCTTTCAGTTATTTAAATTACTTTCTCCCAATGCAAATTTTCTGGTTTCCTTATTTGCACAGGCTTTATTTCTACAGGCCAATTCAGTGTGATCATTTGATATTCTCTTTTGTTCTCCTTTCTAAAAAATCACTCTGGCATCCTAAAAGTTGATCAAAGAGGTTCACATCATACTTATCTGTCTAGCAACAGAATAATGGCGACTTTTGTTGTTCAGTCCATAATCCAAGACTCCTCTAGGGTCCTTTTCCTATTCTACCAAGGCACAGGCGATCACACCCACATCCAGTGCAGGTGTGCTTCATCCTCCTTCCCACAATACATCACTACAGAACCTGGGCCTTCAGAGTTTAAGAAATGAAGAGAGAAAAAAATTATCTTACCTCAATTAAAACACACCATGCCTGGGAACACTGATTCAGTGAACATCTATTAACCATCTACTGTTCGTCAGGCACTTAAATTTAAACTAAAAACCAACCAATCACACAAAGAATAACAGCTATACAATTGACAAAACAGTAATGTGTTAGCCCTAGGAAAGATATACACAAAGACATTTAAGGAAAAGGAAGTGATAAAGTTGGGAGGTTGCTAACAAGCAATAAAATGAAAACTATTTTTGGCACAAATATAGAAGCGTTGAAATCCTATACAGAAGTATTGGTACTGAGTGGCCTGAGGACAGGATAGAACCCCCAAATGTTTCCATTTTAATCCCAGCTTCTTCTCACAGAGATGCTTTGAGAGCAGTTAATTAATATTTGCAAAGCTCAAAGTAGAATGCTAGTCATAAAAATAAAAAAGCAGGCACATAAAATACAAAAAAAGTCACTAAGTAACACCCAATTAAAATTCAATCTCTTAAGTAATGTTAACAAAAGTTTGAATTGAACCTTAATATAAAACATTTTTCTGAAAAAATTACTTAAGATGAAAAACAGCAACCGAAGCTCTTTACAAATAAAAAAAGTCACGCAACTTACGATATTTACTGTGAATTTCATCTATTTCCTTTTCTGTTTGGTCCTTTGTAAAAACCATTACCTAAAATAATCAAAAAAAGTCTGAATAAAAATCTCCCCAAAATGATAAAAAGGGAAATATTACAAACTTTCAAATCTCAAATGTGAGTGTTTACAATAGAGGAAAATGATCTGTCATCTGTTTTATATAGACCTAGGAAGAATCATTCCTATGGACTTCCCTTAAATACCAGAAACAGTATACATTTTACTCATTATTTTTTCTTATCAGTAGAAAATGCAACATGATTCAATTATATATTAACAAAATAATGAATTTTCTATTTTCAATATTTAATTTTCCACATTCATTAATACAACAGGCAATATTTGAAACCAGAAGACTGACGACACTTAGCTGACTATCAGTAAGGCTGATCTTCTTGTCTGCCTTCTCTCTTTCCAACCTAACTTCTCCAGGTCATTATAGAAAAGTAGTATGTATAGAAAATGCAGTAATACAAAACATAGTAAGTTAAATTTCTAGGTCCACTTTTTAAACCTCAGACTTAAAAGATCAGAAATCTACTTCCATAATTCACTACAGTTCCCATCTTACAGTTAGCACACAGGTAATAATGTAATGAGTGTTTAAAATAGAGGAAAATGATCTGTCATCTGTTTTATATAGACCTAGGAAGAATCATTCCTACAGACTTCCCTTAAATACCAATGTATTTTAAGGTCAATGTAAATCCCATTTTTGTTCCTACTTATTTGGCTACAAACTTACTTTCTTAAGGTAACCATTGCTTTCCTTACAAACACACTACAGATGGCCTAGAAAAAAAAAAGAAGTCTACTTGGAAGAGACCAAAACACTTCCTCCAGTGTCACAGGACACAATGACTATTTTCTTCACTAGTATCCTGTCTTCAAGTTTGGGGCCATCAAGCTAGTGGAAGGCAACAGTGAAGAATTTTAGGTCTCTGATTCTCTCAAAAGCTCAAGAGAATACTCCATCCTCAAATTACTTAATTTATCCTCTAACAATTACTTAACATGTCCATAAGCATAATCATAGAATTGCAGAATGCCAGAGCTAAAAAGGAATCATAGAAGTCCCTAGCGGTAGCTTACAGGTCCTTAGAGGCAGTTTATCGAACACAACCAGCAGAGAAAGGACCAATATCAAAGCTGCCTGATGCACAGGCATAAGCATTTTCTATAGAACTCTAGCTCATGAACAAACTCTACTTTGAATTGCATGTTGTGCTAGAAGACTGCTAAGTACAATCAAATATTGTCCTAAAAGGAGTTGCAAGTAAATCATAATACACTAAGTGGAAATGTTTTAGTAAATGAACAAATTTAATAATGGTTTGCTTTAATTTGTGTTGGGTATTAAACTTTCTTTCTTCATTTCTATCCAGATACTGAAATAGCCCATTAACATACACTTTCATTGAGTTTACTAGCTTCAAGACGCATCCTAGTCTTCTCCATATTTTCGATTTCTTGAACTATTTCAGCAGCTGTTAAAATAAGAAAATAACCACTAGGTTACTTTTTTTTAATCACTGTACAGTAATTATTTAAGTTATTAACATTAGAAGATGGGTGACAGGTATATGTGAACTCCCTGATCTATTTTTACAATTTTTCTGTGAATCAATTACCATTTCAAAACAAAAGGTTAAAAAAAACCATGAAGTTAAAACACTGAACTCTTACACATGCACATGTTGTTCAACGTATAACCAGAAGAGTAAAGTCAAGTCACTTTGCTTTCTCCTTTGAATATATAGGTCTAAACAGAAGTCTCAATGAAATATGAAAATTAATTTTTTAGTGTGAGTTCAATTATTAGGGGATGTCTGCTCAAATTCCAATGTACTAAATGCAGTACAACAGGCCACTGTTCAAGGAGAGAGAAAGGTCTACAAATACCAGGAAAAATGTCCTTGCCTCCAGAACCTTTGTCCGTAGGTATGGTTACCAATTACACACATAAAAGAGATCTGGAATACACCCTGTCACACATGAAATGCCTTTGAATGCAAACAGCACAGAATTTGCAAATGCTATCTTTCTGCATCCAAAGTTAATACATTAAAACTGAAATGCATATGGTATGAAATAAAAATTTACAATCCCTTACACTCATTTATACTTAAAAATTATATCTGGAATTTGCTTCAAAATAATCCATGGAAAAAGGGCGTAAATGGTAGATAAAACAACATTAAGATGGTGTGATAATTGTTTAAGCTGGGTAGTAGGCATATGGGGAAATCAGTAAACTCTTTTCTCTATTTCTGTATGTTTGAAATAATCCCCTATACAGTTTTATTTTTTTTAAACCACAGACTTTATGAGGATCGTTTAAGAATGCAACTGTCTCAATCTAAAGTTTATGTTTTCCAAGCACTGAGAGGTACCTTTTGCCTCCCTGATATTGTAACACCAGTAGAAACAATGTAAACAATCTCCCTGTGAACATGACCAGCTAGTGGTTCTCTCCTTTCCAAACTGAGTCATGGAATAACATGAAAAACACAGGGACCATCTGCATTCTATCCAATCCATTAATACAAGTATCACTAAAGATAAAGAACATCTGGCATATCCTCTTCTAAGATATTAAGAAAATTATATTAGGATTGGGTAGAATTTAGTGGCCTAAGTCTTTTTCAGGGAGATTTCTGATTCTGTTTAGGTTGTAGAGAGCTATAAATAATGTCACTCTCACCCTAATGACGAGAAAAAGCTGGATAATTTATAAAACTATAATTTTTCTTGAATCCATCAGAGCTAAAGTAAGACGGCAATCAACTACCTTGAAACCTAAAGAAAGATGAGTGCCTTAGAGGAGAGGGGGATCATGAGCGCTGGTTGACATAGGGCAGTACACACGAGAAAAATTGGTACCACTCTATCTCTGGGTAAGATCTCAGCTAAACTTTTTGATAAACTGCAAAAGGCCAAGGGTGAGCTACCATGAAAATACAAAAACCCTGGGTGGCTTGGACATAAGGGGCATCACGTCCATTTGCAGGCTATTTTCTTTTTTTTTTTTTTCTTTATTTTTTGAGACGGAGTCTTACTCTGTCGCCCAGGCTGGAGTGCAGTGGAGTGATCTCGGCTCATTGCAAGCTCCGCCTTCTGGGTTCACGCCATTCTCCTGCCTCAGCCTCCCGAGTAGCTGGGACTACAGGCGCCTGCCACCATGCCCGGCTAATTTTTTGTATTTTTAGTAGAGACGAGGTTTCACCTTGTTAGCCAGGATGGTCTCGATCTCCTGACCTCGTGATCCACCCGCCTCGGCCTCCCAAAGTGCTGGGATTACAGGCGTGAGCCACCGCGCCCGGCCTTGCAGGCTATTTTCTACAGACCTCAGTGGGCACTCACAAGAGTCCTCAGTCTCTCTGTAGCTCACTGGGGAAGGGCAGAAAATTAGAAAAGATCTCCCTCCAGATCCAATTCTGGCAAAAGAGAATCACCCCCACTGCAGGACGGACATGAAGCCCCAATCACATCTTTACCCCTGAAGAAAAAAAGCATTAAGCCACCGACGAAAGGTCAGCAAAAATGTTATCCCCAGAGCATAGGTTGCTGAGGGAAGTAAACAAAAACAAACAAACAAAAAACCCCCTCTACCCCTCAGGAGGACCAGGAAACCATTCTGGGCCCTGCCCCGTAGAGGACCTCTGCCACTGGCAGTGGGAGAGGGGCAGGATCGCTGAAAGAGCCCCACCCCTGAGATGCAGGATTGAAAGACCTGCCTAAGACTGAAGCTAAATCAGAGTAACAGAGAACCCTCCTTTTCTCCCTACCACAAACCTAGCATGATCCAAGTGATACGTAACAGCAATCTACTTCTAGGAGAGAAATGAACATGGAGAGAGACCCTCTCTGAGGCACAGGCTCATAGGGAAAACCTAAGTTGTGAGTGATATATAGGTACATCAAAAAAAAAAGAGTCTGGCACCTCAGACTCTTACCTACAATGTCTGGCTTTCAACCAAAACTTAAACATGAAAAAGCAAGCAAATAATGATTAAGATGATAAAGGATCATCTTTATCAATACACATGAACAGATAGGGCATTTCTGTAGAAATTACTTCAACAGAAATCCTTTCTTTTAGAAAGAATAATATGGAAATGTTAGATATATAGATAGAGATACATAAAACTAACACAGTAACAGATAACTTGACTCAGCTAAGGAAAGAATCAGTGAACCTAAAATTGGATTGGTATTATCCAATCTGAAACACAGAGAGAAAAAAAAGGAAAAAGAAAAAAAAAAACTGTAACAGAACAGCGCCTCTAAGAGCTATGGGACAATATCAAGAAATATAACATACACATAATAGAAATCACAGAAGAAGAAAGAAGGGAAGAGAAGAAATTGTTGAAGAACTAATGTCTAGAATTTGCCAAATATAAGAAAGACACCAAACCACAAATGCAAGAATCTCAAAGATCAAGCAACACAGATATAAAAACAAACCAAAAATGACAACAACATGCATATAGACACAAAGAGAAAATCATGCAGCCATCAGAGGAAAAAGATACATTATATAAAGAAAAATCAAGAATTACATTACACTTCTCATCAGAAATTATTCAAGCCAGATAACAATAGAGTGACATCTTTAAAGCATTAGAAAAAAGCCTCCCAATCCAGAATTCTAATGAAAATATTTTACAAAAGTGAAAGACAAAAATGTTCTGAGGAAACCATAAGCTGAGAAGTATTATTAGCAGCCCTCCATTACAAAAAGTATTAAAACAAGTTCTTCAAGTAGAAGAACCAGAGAGAAACTTACCTAAGAAGTGAAAACTGGTGAAAATGGTAAACATGAAGATAAGTATGAAATACACTTTTTTCTTATTTTTAACTACTCTAAAAGATAACTGTTTAATGGACAAACAATAGCAACATATTGTGTTAATAGTATATGTAAAAGGAGTTCATGACAATAACAGTACAAATAATTAGGAGCTGGGAGTACACTGTTAAGTTTCTTACAAATGAGGCTGTATAATTACTTGACTGTAACTAATGAAAGATGTACACTGAAAACCCTAGAGAGACCACTAAAATTGTTTGAAAAAGAGGTAAAGTAATAAAGCAATAATAGAAATAAAATGTAATAATAAAAAATGTTCAATCCAAAAGACAGCAAAAAAAGATAACAAAAAGGAGATGGAACAAAAAAAAAAAAAACAGCAAGATATTAAATTCAAAGCCTACTGCATCAGTATTTCATTAAAGAAATGGTTTTAAAGCACCAATTAAGAGACAGAGAATGTCAGATTGGATAAAAAAGCAAGACCAAACTATATACTATCAAAAATAACCCATTTTAAATAAAAAGATAGGTTAAAAATAAAAGTATGGAAAGAGATGTCTCATGTAAACAGTCATGAAAAGAAACCTGGAGGAGCTTTATTAATATGAGGCACAACAAGCTCCAGACCATGAATGTTATTAGGGATAAAGAGGGAAATTAGGGGCCGGGCGCAGTGGCTCATGCCCGTAATCCCAGCAGTTTGGGAGGCCGAGGCGAGTGGATCACCTGAGGTCAGGAGTTCAAAACCAGCCTGACCAACATGGTGAAATCCCATCCCTACTAAAAATACAAAAATTAGCAGGGTATGGTGGCTCATGCCTGCAGTCCCAGCTGCTCGGGAGGCTGAGGCAGGAGAATCACTTGAATCCAGGAGAAGGAGACAGCAGTGAGCTGAGATGGTGCCATTGCACTTTAGCCTGGGCAACAAGAGTGAAACTCCGTCTCAAAAAAAGAAAAAAAAAGAGGGAAATTATACCGTGATAAAGGGTCAATCTACCAAGAAGACATAACAATCTTAAATGCGTTTGCTCCTAAAACAGAAATTTAAAATACATTAAAAAGTATTTCTTGTTCCAAACAAGATGGATTAGACTCATTTCTCCACTAAGTACAACTAAAAACCCTGATATACAACTGACAACTGTAAGAGAACTCTGGAAAGTAGAAAGAGGAAGATGGACTGGCTAAGACCTCAGCATGTGAGGAATGATACTGTGGTGAGTTCCCTGAGGTGTCGCTGTATTCTGTATCTTATCGACTAGGCTCTGGAGAAGCCCAGAGACATCAAGAGGAACAGACAAAAAAGCCTCAAGAAAAATCTACTCTTTCTAAGCAAAGGACTGAAAAAGAGGGCGCCCAGAAACCTTCTTGATAATACTTGACCTACCCAAGCAAAACACTGCTGATGCTCCCTGCCCTTTGCAGTATTATCAGAGAGCAAGTGGGGAGCGTGGACTTCTGCCCATCAACCAGAGGTGGAAGGGGTCCTAGTACAGGATGTCCTCCCATAGCAACAGTGTCAGTGGAAGTCTAGTGAGGAGCTCAGACTTCTACCCCCCATCCAATGATGGCAGGTGACAACTGCACCCTCTCAACTAATAACTGAGGAGAGAATATCAAAGAGAAGGAACCTGGAGAAAGAATTCCTTCAGCCTGTGTAGAACATCC